CATCCCAAAAAAAAAAAAAAAAAAAAAAAAAATACATATGCAAAGAAAACATCTGACTAATTCACTGAGAAGAAGCAAAATGATTCGGTTAGGGGCTGAAGTTGGGGGCTTCTGTCAGAAGATACGGTGCTCAGAGGTTAAAAGTGAAAAGAAAAAACAACCCAACAGAACCATCCCCATTATGAAATTTCTCCGAGGTGTCTGAATTCTCCCACTGGCCTCACCAAATACAGTTAGAAACAGCAGAGGATGCCAGCAGTGAAGATGAGCAGGCTAGATCTACACAAAGCTTCATTCATTGGTTCATTTATTCATTCATCCAATTTTTATGGAATGTCTTGCTACGCATGATACTGGAATACAGAAAGGACCAAGACAGACCCAGTTCCTGCCTCCATGGAACTTAAATCTAACAAGAACAGGTATGGCTATTTGAATAATCTGGGTACAAAACAGAGGGGATTAGCATTTATTGATGCCTATTTCAAAACGAGGGACTGTATGACCTATATTAAAGCCTTCTCTAAGGGGTCCCAAGAAATAGATGTTAGCGTGCATTCTCCCAGGAAAAGGATTCTGGGGTCAAGAAACACTGCTCCTTCCTGAAAATTTATAATACATATTAGCATAATTAAGATTCGAAGAAATTCTAGAGTAAATCAGCTTGTTTAACTGTGTTTAACTTAGTCTTTGACACAATTTTTTCACTGAAAACAGGTATTTCACAGAGCAGTTTGAGAAATTCCCAAGTAAAACAACTTTATGAGGTATGTACCGCTATTATTCCCATCTGACAGACGAGGACACCAAGTCTCTATAAGGTTCAGGAATGTGGTAAAGTGGCATGAGCCATTTGAAATGGGAGTTGGCTCTGCCTCAGACTGGGACTCTTTTATTCTGCTTTATGTTGACTTTCTTCTTTAGTGTATTGTTTTGGTTTTCTAATTGGCCCTGACAACTAATTCCACACTCCTACGTGGTTCAATTTAATACAAAGAGCCACCACTGGGGGGCAGAGAAATGTCTACCATCCATTTCCTATCATGACTGATTTCTTCTGGGGAGGCTGTTGCAGCGCAAGAGCCCTCCCTAAGAAATAACAGTAATGGGTATGTTCTTATCCTGGCTTTGCCACTTAGTAGCTGTGTGGCCTTGGGCAAGTTACTTAACCTCTCTGTGCTCAGGCCTCCTCATCTGAATAATCAGTATAATAAGTCTACCCCAAGGCTGTCACGAGGATTCACTGAGACCACAGATATAAAGCTTTCAGCCCAGTGCCTGGCATCCAGCAAACCCTCAGAAAACAGTGGCTGCTGTTTGCATTATTAGAACAGCCCACGCTGTGTATTTCTGACACGGTCCACAATGGGGCATCAAAGATTCAGATGAGAAAGTGCCAGATGGGCTAGTGTCCCTCCCTGGTGTGGATGTGCGGTGTTGGTGTGATAGCCTGTGTCTGGAGAGGAAGGTGATGGGGGCTTCCATCTCTGGATGAATTTCTTTGGCTTCTCAGTGCATCCTTTCTCCAGGGTCAAGTCCTTTGCTCCATTAGACTTTAATTAGCAGGAGGGACCAGAAGGCGGATGCTGCTGCCTGAGAGCTAATGATCTGAAGGGAAGATGGAAACAGAAATGCAACCGAAGCTCCCTAAAATAGCCTGGTGTGAGAGAGAAGCCCATCCTCCATCAAAAGCCTTGACAGCCCCACTCTATGAAACCCCCCAAAAT